TCAGCATAGGCACAACATCCTTCCAGGAGGCCGGGCTAGAAGGAGACAGAGGCCTGGAGGCAAGCTACTGCTGGTATAGCCCCAAGGCATATCCAGAAGGCAAGACTGGAGACAGGCATACCTACAGCATAGCTCAGGCAAAAACCCAACCTCACCTCATCCCTGAACTTAAATAGAGGTCATGGGCAGAGGGTGGGGATGGACATCCCAGGTGAGGCTGCTCAGGGCCATTAAGGTCTACAGGTGCACTCATGGGACTGACTTACACAGGTGCTTATAAATTTAAAACCTCATTGCCCCAAACTCAGTTGGTCAAGTGTCACATCCTTTTCATTTCTCTTTTGCCTTTGTGATCTCAATAGCAAAGTTATCCAAGTAAATAGTTTTATCTCCCTCCAGCATCAAAACAGTTACTGGGGCTTATTATATGGCTTCTTTTCTGCGTCTTATTGAGAGTAGGAGAGAGCATAAACGCTGTATTTCATTATTATTATTATTATTATTTAAGAGTAAAAAGTTATTAGGAATTACAGATGGATTCTAAATTCTAATATTTCTTGGAAAAAAAATCTTACAACAGCAAAAATCCCTGATGTTTCTACTGCAGTCAATGAAAGCAGCTGAATAGTCAGCACCTCTGAATAAAAGCAGGTCACTTAGATGCCTAAATATAGATTTGAAGTCAGATTTTTAGAAGAGTTCAGTACCCATTTTATTCCTTAAGTTATGCTTAGAACATGACATCTGAGCATTGTGCAATGCTGCACACATCAACGTGACTAACATCTGTCATATTTGTCTTTCATCTTCTTTCCAGAATAAATCCATAAAATCCATATAGTGAAGCATTTTGGTTTTGAAGCGTGTAATATACAACACACATTTTGTTAGGTTTATTATAGGAAAGGAAAGGCTGCGGAAGGAAGTTGTTTTTTGTTTTCATATTTCTTTTTTCTTCCAGGAGACTTTCTTGTCATCTTGGCCTAGATTCTGAAGAGCTCTTTGCTGCAGATGTGAATCCTTAGCAAGGAAGGTTATGTGTTATCCGAGGAACAAAAGATGTTGATCATAATCTTTAGAGCAAAATCTGAACAAATCAAGTGCCTGGACTACCTAGATGAGGTCTAAGGCACAGGTTTGTATTCTCCAGTTTCAGGCACCAAGAACAGGATGGTTACCTGCACTTGTCTATCTTGTTGGGATGACACAGGTCTACCACCTGTGCCATGATATACCTGGAGATGGACATGGGCATCACTTGAAGAGGCAAAACCTAGTCACACTTGCAGCCTACGCTTTTCTTTTGCATCTCTTTCTGGCTGTGCATCAGCTAGAGCCCCAGTCTCTTTCTTTCCTTCAACTGTAACCCTAACCTTAGCTCTTAAAATAAACCTAGCCAGAGGCTTAGCCTGGGACTGGATTACCCAGCCAATTCCTATGGCAAAAATTTCCCCCTGTCAAGTTCTTGCAGCCTAGACTTCTCTTTAAACCCTTTTAGCTCCCCTCCAGCTGGAGCTCTGGGCTTTCTCTTTCTCCTAGCTCTAACCGTGGGAGTAACCCTGGTCTTGTGCTAAGCCTCAGCCCAGGGGCCCTAGCCAGTGCCCAAGCTAAAACCTTCTCAGAGGCATGTTTTTTTCACAGCCCACCTTTCCTTTGGCATGTTCCCTTTCACGTTCCCCTCCAGCTGCAACTTTAGTCTGTCTCTGCCCAGATACTAACCTTAACACAGATCCTTAGACCAGGACCCCCAGCCAGTGCCCACAATGTGTTCCTTTTGCCACATTTGCTCTACACCACATTTTATCTACACCGTTTTTTTCTTCAGAGCTCCTCTCCAGCTCCACTCCAGCTGCAGCTCCAGACTCTCTCTTTCCCTCAGCCCTAATCTTAATGCTTGCTCAAACCATATGCTTTGGACATGGCCCCCGGCCAGTGCCCACACCAGGAAGTTCTTGCAGCCGAGTTCTTGCAGCCCACACATCCCTGTGACAGCCACTTTCTAGCCCAGCTGCAGCTCTTGGCTCTCTCTTGCTGTCAGCCATAACCTCAGACCTATCCCTACCCCTGACAGTACTGAGCCTTAGACCAAGCCCCCAGCCAGTGCACACACCTAAAAGATCTTACAGACGAGTTATCTTTGTGTCCCAGCCTTTCCTCTAGCAACTGCTTTCAACCTCTCCTGCAGCTGGAGGTCTGGTCTCTCTCTTTCTCCCAATGTTAACACTAACCCTCACGCTAGCTGTATGCTTAGCCTCAGACCAGGATGCCAAGCAGTAAAAACAAAAAACAAAACAAAACAAAACCAGCAAAAGCAACCAAGTTCTTCCTGCACCCTGCGCTTCCTAGGCCCATTCTAATTGCAGCATTAGGCTCGCTCTTGCTGACAAATCTAACCCTACCTCCAAACCTAGGAGGAGGCAGAGCCTCAGACCAGGCAGCCCTGCCACGTTCTCCTTGCAGTCTAAAGTTCCCCTTCAAAGTCCCTTTGTAGCTCCCCTTCAGCTGGAACTGTCTGTCTCTTTCCTCCAGCCCTAACTCTAACTCCAAAATAAACCTAACCTTAAGCTGAGCCTTGTCACTGCCCCCTTTTGGTGCCCTCACCAGAAAGTTATCCCAGCCAAGCTCTCCTTGCATGCCACCCTTTCTCTGGGCAAGTCCTTTCTACCCCAGTCCCACCACAGCTCTAGGTTATCTTTTTCTCTCAGCCCTAATACTAACGCTAGCCATATCAAACTCAAACAAAGGCCGAGCCTTGGCCTAGAACTCACCAGGCCAAACCAAAATGTTCTGGCAACCACCTTCTTGCAGCCTACACTTCCCATTACCAGTTCCTTCATTGTCCCTCTGCAGCTGGAGCTCTCATCTCTCTCGAGTGTAACCCTGGCTTTAAGCCCAACTATATGCTGACCAGGCCTCACTGCCAATGCCCACACCAAAATTTTCTCTCAGCCATGTTCTCTTTGCAGCCCACCATTTCCTTTGGCAGCCTCTTTCCCATCTCCCTCCAACTGGGGCTCTTGGCTTTCTCTTTTCCTCAGCCCTAACCCTAACCGTGACCACAGGGTGAACCTCAGACCAAGACACCCACCAAACATTCTCCCCTCCCAAGTTTTCTCTGCACCCCACTGTCTCTTTCTGAAACTCCTTTCCAACCCCAATCCACCTGCAGCAGCAGTCTCTTGCCCCTGACCCTAACCCTAACCATGGTCCTGATGCATTCTGAAGGCTGAGCCTTGGCCGTGGGCCCCTTCCAGCACTGACACCAGAAAGTTCTCTCTGTAGCCATGTAACCTTAGCAGCCTCTTGGGATTTCTCCCCACCCTAACACAGGCTGACTGTCTCTAGGGAGAGAGAACCTGCATCCGAGGTCTGCTCTTTGCTCCCTTGTAGCTCATGGACATTTTTGTGCATGTGCGAGGAGGTGTTTCACATATACTGCCTGGCACAACACTTGTACTTCAGTCCATTGACCGATTTTTTTATAGCATGACACTGTGAATGTATGTTGCTGATCTGTTTGTGGTGTACATCCAGTATCAGAAGAGGAAAGACCTTCTAGGAGAGGACTGAAAAACTTCAGAGCTAAACCCAAAGCTGGTACAATACTGCCTGTAGTGTCTATGGGGAGATCTCTCTTGTTCAGTGTATCTCCACAACAGCATTCATGAGCCATTGTAAGCAAAACAGCTTGTTTCACTTCACAGATAACCTGTGAGCAAGCTAACGTAGATGTTGAGATGATGGCCCAGGAACTGACAGAAGACTGAAGGGCCAAATTATGACAGTACAACCTCTTCTGAGGTAGCAGTTGGTCTTTAGCTGTTTCTTAGAAGACTGTTTGGGATCTGTATCTTCCAGCATTGGTAAGAACAGTTTTTGGGAATAGGAAATTCATGCTCTGAGTTACCGCACACTCCAACAACAGAGCGGCACTTCCTACTTGACTTTAAAGAAATCCACCCCCTGTGGATTTACAAGCGTTAGAGACTCCTTTAGAGTGTCCAGAACTTTTTGATGGCTGAATATAAAGCTTTTGAACTGCCTGAGGACTGAATAGGAGGGCACGGCCAGGGTCAATTCACAGTGCTTGGGAACTTTATTAAGGGTGTGATATCACCAGTGGACTAAGCTGGTCAGAACATGCTCAGTCTCTGATGAAGTGGTTTACTATCCTTATTAGCACTGAGCAGTAGTTAGAAGCTCCAGAGGAGATGAAAGTGTTTTGTTTTGTCATATCTGCATCATTTTTTTTCTGTCATTGGTACTATTTTTTTTTCTCCTGTTTCTTCCTGTGCCTGTACAAGATGCTCCATTGGGAGCTGGTGGACAGGAGAGAGGGAAGGAGAGAATAAGCTAGCAAGACTGTGCTAATGACTGGTTGCCCTTGACTGACTTCATCAATAGTTTGCATAAATTAAAAACAGGGTGCAGGCTCTCACCTTGGCATTTAAGTAAAGCCTGGGACTAGCAAGCTCACCATTAAAATCCCTTTGCTCTTATTGATGCTTGCAGCAAAGTCTTGCTGAGCCTTACTATTTAAACATAACACTTCCTAACTTAATACTTCATCCCAGCACATATAGGAATGACTTGCTTTTTGTTTCACTGATCATCAAGAGCAATTCTGGTGAGTTAGGGTCTCTACTCCTGAGGAAAGGGATATCACACAGTTTGTAAGTGAAGCTTTGCCTAGCTACTGGAAGGTAATACTGCCCTTTACAATTATTTTCTGCAGCTGCAAAGAACAGAAGGCCCACAGAGTATCCCTGGGCCAACTGCCATAGAAACTAATTTCAGCTAGGGCAGACTCATAAATTGTTCCATTACTCTATAAATTGGTCTGGGTACATGTCACTTCAAGCCAAGCTGGGTTACTTTAAATCCAGCCCATAGTTCTAAAATATTGCTGTTTTTAAAAAAGAATTCATCTTAAAGACATGATGAAAATAAATTCCTGAAATAAATTAACCTTCTACAAGAGCATAAAACCCACAAGGATGTTGAGTTATTTACCAATTTATTGGAAATACAGAAAGAACAGTCCAAATATTTTGAAGACAAGGCATTTCCTTCATTTGTAAAACTGAAAAACAGAAAACCAGTAAGCATAAACTTTTTTTAAAATGCAGACTCCTTAATTGCTCTGCTTTCAGAAGAACAAATACAATTTGTATATGGAAATGATTACTGCCTATATATGTTTACAGGCAGAAGGCATTGCCTGCCAGTCGTCAGATGTGCCATCAAGAGTCGCCGGGTTTGCAGAATTTCACATCATTGCAGAGGATTTCAAACAAACTCTGGAACATAATTTAAAATGCAAAAACAAAGTTATTAAAATTAATTTACAGAGATCAATGCAGCAATTCCTTAAGCACAAAGGAGGCTTACATTTCATTTTAAGCATTACCAATTTCCTTTTGTTCCCCAACACAAGGCATGGCACATAACCAAAGACCTATGAAGGGGGCAATCAGCCTCAATTAGGAGTCAGGCATCTATCCCAAGTGATGCTTTGCTTTCTTTTTATTTATGATGAAAAAAATAGACAACCTACTCCAGCCTAGGCTTAGGAAATTATTACAGCCAGGGGTAGCTCCTTTAGTCACCTCCCAAATGCAATGGAAGCCAGGACAGCTTCTTCTCACCTTGTTCAACTCTCCATAAACAACCCAACTGAAAGCCTTACGGTGATCGTGATCGGTGTCTCACAGTAGCCGCATCCATTTTAGTTCAAACAAAGTAAAATTCCCCCTAGCCAGAGCAACGCTGAAGCCCAGCTATCCCACTCCCTCAGGGGCCCTCTGCTTCCCTTTTATGACTTCCCCCACTTAGGCAGCACAGCTGTCAGTTCCACCTCCCAGCAGTTTAACAAGCCACAACTGCCAGGTTTTGCAGCTTATATAGTCTTTAAGGGCTAACCTCTTCCTTCTTCTGAAGCAAAGGGTTTTAACCCTTTCTAGGTTCACAGTGACTACAGCTCAGCTGGTGAGTTGTTTATGTGCAGCTTCCTGGGATTTTTTGGCATCTCTTTACTGATCCTGTTTCCTCAGGTGTAGTCAGCAATGGAGTTGCAGAATTGCTCCTGGGTGCTGTTGCTCCAGCTTGGGGATAGAGAATCTAAACCTTAAACAATGTGTAAACCTTCATGTTGTTTTGTTTTGTTTCAGCAAAAAGATCTAAATTGATAGATTTCACTACTAAAATTATGGTATCAAAAACATGTAAGTTCAATAAGGACATTCTGTATATGCTTCTTGTTTGTTCTTCAACCTGCAAGGTATTTTGATCAACACTGGGTAATAAATGCACTTTGAAAAATCCATTAATCACATTTGTGCCTGTCTAAGAGCTGATTTATTTCAAAATATACTCTTTTTTTCTGATTGAAAAGATTTTGAGCTTCCTCTGTTTTTAAATGTAATTAAACATGAAATGACACATTTTAAAAATAGTCTAAGAAATAAAATGCAGTATTTACTTCCTATAGTGGCACATACTTTTAATAGAAACTGCTTGGTGCAGAGCTCATCTTAATTGGTAAAGCCAGTAAGTTCTGTTTTCATCTAGCTATATTTTTCATATTTGTGAAGTTTCTGAGGAATTTTCCTTCCTGCTACAGCACTGGAGCAGCCTTTCCAATTTCTAGCCCAGAAATACAGCTTCCTTAGCGTGCACCATTTTAGAGTTTCTCGCTTGCTGTGGTTAATCACAGGAACTACCGTAGCTGATGAACTGTTAAAGAGCTGCAGTAGTTCCTGCATGCTCTAATTTAGATGGTTGCCACTGTTACTAAGGATTTTGTTTTTAGAGGAGGTTGTTTGTGCTCTCTTTCAACGTTGCTAAACAACTCTCGAGCGTTTTTCTTCTGGAGACATTGAAAAGCTCCACTAATGCCAATACTGGAGAAATAGCCCTTAAAAAAAGTCCTTGTGAAACTCATGGAAAAGTAGAGTATGTAGTTTTCAAAGCTCAAGTTGCAAAAAAAATACTACTAATAAAAAAATCCTTTAATACTGGATGCCTCCCTTTTGGACAGGAAGCACCAGATACCAAGAACCTGAGCACTGACAACACCAACTGAATCCTGAAGCTTCAGTGGCACGGTCCTTGTGAGAAGCAGGTCTCTCATGCATGGTATCTAAATAAAGTAATGTTTTAAAAAAATCTGGCCTTACCTGCATTTAAAGAATTTACCTGGCTAACATTTCACCACACATCAGCTTGCTCCAGACCTTGTCCATTCGCATTCTGAATTCTCCAGGGAAGGAAATCCTGCGACCTTTCCAGCATTTTGCCACCTCCACGTTTTTTCTATGTGTCCAATAGGAATTCCCCACACTCCGGCTTGTGTCTACTGCTCCTTGTCCTGTTGCTGGACACCTTTGAGAAGAGCCTGATTCTGTTTTCTCTGTGCTCTTCCATTAGGTATCTGGAGGCAGCAGTAAGCCCTCTTTGTTGCCTTTACTGCTTACTGCGGAACAAAACCAGGTCTCCCAGCCTGCTCTCATGTAGGATGTGGTCCAGCCCCAAAGCTATCCTGGTGATCCTCCACGGGGCTTGCTCCAGTATGGCAATGCCTTTCTTGGCCTGGGTACTCCAAAACTGGACTCAGCATGCCAGGTACAGGCTCAGAAGTGAACATGGGGGAGAAACACTTTTCTCAACCAGCTGGATACACTCTTACAGCCCATTTATTCCGTCTCAAATGCAAGATCCTAGATCCCACTTGCCTTTGCTGGACTTCAGGAGGTTTCTGTCAGACCATGTCCCCAGTCTGTTCAGGTGCCTATGCACGGCAGCTCTGTTCTCCTAGCGTAACAGCTGCTCCCTCCAATGGCATATTGTCTGCAAACTTGCTGAGAGTGCACTCCATCCCATCATCCAGGTCATGAATAAAGATATTAAACAGTATTATCTCCGCTATGAATCCTTGAGGGATGCCACTTGTACAGCCGGTCACCGGTTCTGCTTCATATTGTTGATTACCACCCTTTGAGCCCAGTGGCTCAGCTGATTTTCTGCCCATGTTATCATCCACTTACACAGTCCATACCTCACTAATTTGGCTCTAAGGAGATAATGGGAGACTGTATCAAAGGCCTTGCTAGAATCAAAGCATACAGCAGTCAGTGCTCCTCCCTCCATGACAGAGAAAGTCACCTCATCACAGAAGGCAATCAGGTTGCTCAGGCATAATTTGCCCTTGATAATTCTGTGCTGGCTATTCCCAATCACCTTCTTATCCTTCTTTTGCTTGGAAATGGCTTATAGGAGAATTCAGTCCATAACCCTCTAAGGGCGTGCAGTTAAGCTGTCTGGTCTGTACTTCCCCAGATTCTCCTTTTTGTCCGTCTTCAGGATGGACATGGCATTTTCTTCTTCATAGCTCAGTTGTAATATATTATTGTTTCAAACAATATGTAATTGACAATGAGACCCAAATATGTTATTAGAAAGTTATAGTCTATCACGTCTCTCCTTTTTAGGATATTTTATATTTCTAATGTAAATAACTTGCAATATTTAGGTTTTCAGTAAATTATATGTTTCTGCTAAAGAAGTTTTTATCCTAGATAAAACCACTCTCACCTCGAATTCTTTTGATTTATATAATAAATACATGTTTTCCAAGAAATATTCTTAAAAAAAAATGGAAATGAGAAAAAGTCACTTCCTTAAGCCTATTTCAGTTACTGAAAAACTTTCTTGATGCCAACAGATACTTAAAGTTTTTAGTTTATCTAAAATAAATGCAAATAATCAACTTGCCAGACATCAGATTAAGAAAGAAGAAAAATGATAGGACGAAAAATGTGCACATCTTAATTACTTTCTAATTACTGTGTGAAACTTCAAGGAGCCGAAGAGAAAACGAAACCCAGCTCTCACGAGAGCAGAAGTGAAAATGCTGTAGGAGCTGGTTAGGCATAAGACCGAAAGAGATTCTAGTGAAATCTCCAAGCAACAGCATAAAATGTTGTAGAGATGGATAACGAGATAGGCTTTGTGTGTGTGGTAACGTGTTTTAAACCTCAGGCCCCATCTGTGACAGGCCTACACGGTTGCAAGCCCCTAGAGCACCAGCATTTCACGGGAGGCAGTGCTCGTGGTGGGGTTCGGTGTGCTATGGCTCTTTCCTCTTGGGCATGTCTGTTTCAAGATACACGTGCTTGAGGCCTGATCTACACAGTTTTTTGTTCCTGTAAGTAAATGTGTGTGGTAACTTTAAACAGAAATGGTTTTACAAGTGCGGAGGTGCTTACAGTAAATGGCTGCACCAGCCCGGGTGGGTTATCTCCTGTTTGTGGGAGAAGCCACGCCATGAGAGCACACACGACATCTTCCAACCATAAGACGTAGCAGTGCTTTGCCTACTCTGGTATTAAAAGTAGGCTAAGCAAAGCAACCATAGCTATTCTAGGTGTGAGGAGGGGCCTCTTGGCCCAAGCCTTCCTCCTTGGCAGGCATGGGGGTGGCGTTTCCTGGTGATCCTGGGGGTGACAGGGTACTGCTGCCTCTGCACAGGGGGTCTGGTGGCAGGGACCAGAGTCCTGGTACGAGATGAGTTAGCAGGGATTGTTAGTGTTGTTAAAACAATCTGACCTGTGGGCAGACAAAGCTTTGATCACTATACACTGCCGCTGAAAACGTCATGGCAGTCTTCAGCAACACATCTCCCAGGCTTGTTGTCGGAGCCAGCAGGCTTGAGGCTCCCTCAGTTTCACTGGGGAAGCGTGAGCATTTCTAGGAATTCAGCTCTGGAGAAATCCAGTGGTCCCACAGTGAAAAAAAAAAACAACAGAGCAATTCTACGTGTTAACTAAACTAATAGGTTATTGGTGTATTCTACTTTTATTTTTTTAGCTACTTTTTGTTTGAAAACAAGTAAGAAATGTTCAAAGATTTGGTTTGTATCTATTTTGAATGAGAACAAAATCCAGCAGGGAATGATTGGCACAACACGGATGAAGGCAGGGCATAGTTATCCGTGTGAGTTACTGTAGGCAGGAAGATGACTTACTGTATGCCCTTTCCAAGCACAGAGCACCTTAGCTAGTACCACCTAGGAGGCCTAGTTCTTTAAAATAAAAAAAAGTTTATACAAGTTAACACCAGGAGAACATCTTGTCTGTGATTATATATAAAGTAAGCTTTGAGATTAATTCATTAATGAGAAAAAAAAGGACAAAAATAACAGATAAACAATTGGTATATGCCCAAAGCTCCCTTTACAGTATACAGTTTCACACGTGTGAGGTGTGCAGAGTAAGAGGGGCGGAAAATTGAAGCAAAAGAAGAAATACTGCAAAACCGCAGCTTTTTTACGCTGTCACCATTTCTACATTTGCAAATGAAGTTGCTACCATGTTTCCTCTGCCAGGCAGGCAGAAAGGGCCACCTAGCAGCTTGCAAGCTGCAGAGTAAGTGCAGCAGAGCAAGAGCTTTTGTGTTGATATAAACGACAATTCTTTGATGTTAGGTACTGCACGGTCCCGCAGAAATTAAGAGTTTCCATTCAATGTGGAAGAATAAAGGAAGGAAGCCAAGAAGTTTTGCTCTTCTTTGAAGCAAAGATGAATAAAGTCTCTTTAAGAATGAAATATTCATGTGTTCCAGTGTGTTTTTTAGTTCCTTGAACATCTATATTCTGGGATGAGCTTGAGCTTAAGAAACGTCTTAAACTACTGCTGCACAGTGGGGAAGGGCTTCGAGACCTAGAGGCAGTGCTGGATATAGTCAGAGTACTGGTGGCACTGAACCAACACCAGGCTGACTGCTACAGACCCCGCTTTTCAGTTCAGAACCAGTGTTTACTCACAGAAAAGCATCAACACAAAAATAAAACCCAGACACGCTTAAATATGTGTGAGGGGGAAGGAAACCATCTCCATGCTGCTCCCAGCTTGCAGACCACAGGGTTTCTGTTCGGGTTCCTGCGGGGAGCGTGGGTGAGGACAGAAAACCTGTGGCACGTTGCTGGGCTCCTCTGTTTCCAAAGCATAGAAAACTGCAGTAAACACAACCACATAACCTGGTATTTGTGTGTGCTTTTCCCTATTATTTTGGCTGCTGATTATTGCGAAGGAGAGAGTTTAGCTGTTCTTATATGTGGCAAACAGGTTGGTTCTTTCGTCTAACTGACAGACAGAACCTACTTTTTAGCATCGCTATCTGACTACCAAAAAATAGCAT